AGGTGGTAAATTTGGTAAAGGTTTAGGGTACGTTCATCCATTCACAAGTTCAAGTCTTTATATCAACAAAATTTTAAATAATTTATATTAAATTTTATTATATATGAATAATTAATAATATCTTTAAATATTCATAATATATTAGACATTAATGTATAATATATCATATTTAATATTATTAAATTATAAACAAAACCAGTATTATTTATTTACTTATAATATATTGTTTATTAATTATTAACTAAATTTATTATTTGTAAAATATTAATTACTTATTTATAACAAGTATAAGTAATATGTTAAATTTATATAGTATATATTTATATGTATTACTTTATTATATTATATATATATATATGAAATTAATGACACAATTTATATGTCATAATGTTTTATATCAAAGTTTGTATAAAAAATAACTAATTATAAACAATATGTTATAAAAACTGAGGTGATAACTAATAAAGTATTTAAGTGTAATCATATAAATAAAGTTTATTGTAAGTTATAGTAATATTTATGAAAAAATTAAATATATATAATATTTATACAAATATATATTCATAACATTTTATATTACGAAACATTACTAAGGTGCAATAATTATAACATATTACTGTAGATTTATAAATAAATATATAATTAATATTCAATTGCTATTATTAAGATTTGTATACATACATATAATAAATAATATATTTTAAGTATATTATTTAATTACATTTACTATCAATTTTTCTTAAGTTATATTAGCTAATATTAGTATATGCATCAAGTATTTTTATTTTTGTATATCATATATGATTATATATTTATAAATAGTACTCACTATTTCAATTATTAAAATTATAGTATGAAACTAATTGTAAAGGATGACGTACTCAAAGTAATATTAGAATTATTTTATATGAATATAATCAATGTAAAGCATAATGTTATATTACTTTATTGTGCATATTAATGACACAAATTATAAGTTATAATGTTATATATATATATATATATATATATATTACAAAGTTTGTATAACTAGTAACTAATTGTAAATAATTAATATGTCATAAAAACTAAGATAATAGCTAACAAAGTTATTAAAAATAATCATATAACTAAAATTTATTATAGGCTAACATATAAAACATAGATGTAAGAATTATAACATATTAATATATATATGTAGGATATTTAATATCTCATATATATATATATATATATATCAACTTATAAGTTATAACATTTAAAATAGATAACAGTTAATTTCATATTAATACGGGTTTTGTATGTAATTAGATATATATAATTTGAATACATATAATAAACTAATATATTTTAAATATATTAAACTAATTATAAGTTTCCTATATATATATATATATCAGTCTTCTAATAATTTATATTAACTAATATTAGTATGTACCTAAAGTATTACTAGTTTTTGTTTAATATATTATTAGATTTTATCATCTATTTTTATAAAATTAAAAAATTTATTATGTTATGTTTTATAAACTTTTTAATTTTATAACATTAATGAATTTATAACAATTAATTTATAATTTGTGATTCAATAAAGTTTTTAAAGTATTTAAAAAAATAATAAGTAAAGGAAAACATATTTAAATTTTTAATATTATGAAACTCAGTATGTAGATATTTAATTTTATTAATATATTTCCTATAAAAGATTAATAAAACTTTAGAAAATTTTTAATACATTTTAAATAAAATTTTTAAAAAATAGTAATACAGATGGAATTCTCTAACAAATTATTATGTTTGAAAATTTAGTGAGCTTTAAATCTTTTTGGCTCTTTAAACTTTTCGATGGATTATTTTTTATTAAAAATTGCCAATGGAAATATGTCGGAAAGTTTGGCGAGAGTAAATTTTTTTGTACCAAAAAAATTTTTGACCAATTTCCAACAAAGTTTACCCATTGGAATTATTCCATTGGAAATATATTCAAAAAGTTAAAAAGAAATTTTCGTCAGAATTTTATTGAAATTTCTAATGAAATTTTTCCCGTCGGAAAAAACCAATTTTCTTGTAGTGTTGACAACAAATCTGCTATTGCCATGGTAAAAAAATCCTATCTTCCATGATCACACTAAACACATAAATATTAAGTACCATGCTTTAAGGAATGCTGAAAAACATGGTGCAGTGACTATCATTCATTGTTGTTTAGATGAGCAATTAGTTGATGCAATAACTAAGTCATTGAGCACGTAGAAGTTTGAGTACTTTAGAGTTAGAATGAAGATTGCGAGTGCAAGCTTTAAAGGGAAATGTTGAAATATAAGGATTGCATCACACACGAATACTATAATATGTGTGTTCTAGTTGGATTTCATGTAAAGGCAAAAGCATTTTGGTGAAGTTCAATGACTTTACACGTTACACTGCATGGAGTAGTGAGTAGTATGTTTTACACTTGTTAATTCATCAAGAACAAGTGCTAGTGTTTAATTAAACTTGTATCCCTTTGTATATATGTGTTGTACTTAATCAAAGTGTAGTTTGACCTTCTTCAATAACCTCAAAGTTTCCCTTTATTCACCTTTGTTCTATTACTCTCTATCAAAACTCACATTACAAAAGAATATTCTGCATATTGTCCTTTTTCATTTAACATGATCTAGGTGGTGTTATACTGAATCATAGAGAACAAAGTTTAAATTTGAGAATATTGATCTTTTTTATCTTTGATTTTTGAAATTTTAATGTTTCGGGGTATATTTTGTTGTATGATCTAAGGTGGAAAGGAATTATAAAGGAACAAGACTATAACAATTGGAACTTGAATGTTTTTGATGTTTTATTTTGGGGTAAAATACATTGATCTTCCTAAGTTTTGATCAAAATTACGCGAAGGTCCATTAGTTTTCGAAATGATCACTCCGCCCCAAAACAATATTTTCATTAGTCAACTGTTAATATTTCTATTAACTTGCTAATGTGGCAAGGGTAAAAAAGATAATTTTACCCTTGATTAATTTTTATAATATTATTATATAATATTATTTTTTTTATTAATTAAAAAGAACCTCCCAATCAGGGGAGCACCAGAGCTCCCCTGAGGAGCCCTGATTGAGGTCTTTAAGGGAGCACAGGTGCTCCCTTCCCTTGGAAGCACCAATCTAGTGCTCCCTAAAGGAAGGGAGCACTAATCGGTGCTCTCTTCCCTTAGGAGGATTGATTGGGGCTCTTTTTTTATTTTTTAAAAAATAATAATATTTTTTAAAATTAATAAAAGGCATGTTAGTCTTTGCATAACTTTTGTTAATGGTGTTTGTGTTCTTGGGATAGAGTGTCTATTTCGAAAACTAATATACATCCTGTTGATATATGCCCTTGAGCCAATTGGATTGGTTAAGGAATATATATTGTTATTTAATTCATACTTAATTGTATAACTATATGTGATAGAGGTTTTCTTTTGTGTTAGTGCAATAATAAGAAGTTATTAAGTACTAATTGGATGAAACCCATGGAACATAAAAGCCTCGCAAGAGAATTGTAAAGTTGTTACAATTAAGACATCATTATGCATTAAAGCCATGTTCCTAAAATTGTTCTTGATCATTGTATTATCAAGACAGATCATTGACAATGCTCAAAGCCTAGTACATGTTAAGCCTCCTCACATGAGAAGTAAGCAATCGATCTCATAAATTGAAGTATATGGGATACTTGAGGATAATATGTAAGTGCTTGTTCAAGAATAAGTTCACTGAACATGACCTGCTATAAAACTCCATTTGGTATTTCACTCAAGTGTCTATAAAATATGTTCTCATATGATAGTCGTGCAACTAGTCCTTAAACTTGAGACACCATATCATCTTGTATAGGGAATGACACATCTTGATTTCATCTCTACGAGTCTGGAGGTGATCAAATGCCTAAACATGATGTTTTTGGGTTTACTATGAAGCATGCGAAGGTGAATGAGTGGTCAAGAAAAGATTCATTATCTCAAGTGATATAAAGGGATGTATCTCATTTATGCTCAATTCTTAATTAACTTGTACAAAGTCTTTGGCCAAAGCATGATAAATTTGAGAAAAGTTAATTTTTTAAATTCTTAAAGTTAGTCATGAATTATAAGAACTAATATGGAATGTTATAAGTAAAAATTGAGCCATGCTTAATAACATATTCGAGATATTTAATGAAAGGACCGTATTGTACTAAGAGGCTTATTACTAAAGGGCTTTGCCAAATTTTTTAATTGACTTTTTAATATTTTGGTGGTCATGATTTATTGCTAGATGTTACTTATGATCTATAAATATAAATTAATTATCAAATTGATAATTTGATTAGGATTTATATTTATTGCCAACATGTTAGAAGCCTAATCGATCACACACATTAAGTGACATGATTGAAATTAAATAAAGATAATCAATTAAGTTAGACTTAATTAGAAAAGATCAAATTAAAGTAGGAATTAAGTAAATTCTCAGAGACTTAATTAAATTAAAATACAATTGTTGTATTTAGGGTTACAACTTAATTTGACTATACAAATATATTATATTAGTAAATTAAAACTCTAAGTCTCCAACCACTTTTGAGCCATTTCACATAATAAGAAAAGAAAAAAAGTTTTCTTTATCTAACAAAAATAAAATTCGGCAGGAATTTTTGATCATTTTGTTTGAAACACAAAACTTGCTAGTACAAGTAAATAAAACCCTATCTTTGGAAAGGTCTTATTTGGTCACTATGTGAATTACTATTAAAGGCCAAACACTTGGGTGGTTGAAGATTTGACAAATCTCAAAGGTGAAGAAGCAAAGATTTTGGATTTAATTGACTCTTGATTATGATATCTAAAGTAAGGTATGTAACTCTTAAACTTATGAATATTTATAAATAATTTGAAAGTTATATGAAAAACATAAGCATTGATCTTATAGGATTCAGCTGTTTTTCTAATTAAATACTAATTTATTTTTTCACTGCATTATATTTTAATTTCTTGATTATTTTCTAATTTGAGCATGAAGTTGAATCCCAACACACCCGCGTAATGTTGATCAAAACTTAGAGAGGTCAAGGTATTTTACTCTTGATTTTGTGTTTTTTATTACTTTTAGGTATCTTTTTCTAGTATGATATAGGTGTGGAGCTATGATGAAACAAGGGGAAGGTTGAAACATTGAAAATGTTGGTTAATACTGTATCTTTTTTGTTGTTATTATTGTTGTATGATCGAGGTGATATTATAATGAAATATTGATATTATAATGAAATATCGTTGTTGATATTGTTGTTGCACATCTTCTTCTCGGTGTGATCACATTGAAATTTGAACTTGTAGATTCAAGGATTGATATTTGTGTTCTTTTAGTATGACTAAAGTGAATTTTGATGAAATGGGAAGATTTATTACCAAAACGATGTGGAATGAATGTATTTGTTAGACTTTTAGTTTGTATGTAGTTTGTGAGATCTGCTTGGGAAATCGGGTTTGACAGAATTGGTGAAGAAATTTTCTTTGTTCCCTAAGTTTCCTGGGTTGAATCAGTTTTGGTATCAAGTAGGGCTGAGCTTAGCTCCAGGTTTCAGAAGAGTAGCGTTTGGAAAACTGCTAGAGTTTGTATTGCAATTGACTCGTGAACAGGGAAACGAGCTGCTGATTGAGATTTCGAAAGGCAGTGATGTCTTGAAGATTGACTCTGGTTTGTCTTAACCAATTATAAACGAGAAAGCAATAGGAAGAAAGACCTGAATTTCAAGCTCAAGACCCACAGAAACAAATTAAAAAACACAACTACATATAGCAAAACCAAAACCACAAGCTTATCAGCCAGCAAGGATGTTATACATGAAGGCAGATTAGAAGTAAGTAATATAAGAAATTGCTAGACTAGGTTTCTATAAGCGAACTCTGAGCGGTTGGTTTGAAACTATACCTTCTTTCAGTTGTTTCCAGTACTATTTTATTGCTGTATTGACTTTTGGCTTGTGCTGCATGATTCTGGTTTGCATGAATGTTAAAACTGTGGATCGTTTTCGTAAAGTTAGAAAAAGAAGAGTTCAGTGAAACAAGGTGTAATACATGACTTGATAGGCAGGTTAACTCTGAATCTATGTTCTGGAATAGTATGGCTAACTGCTGGCAGAAGACTTTTCTCTAGTTCTACGTCCATTGTAATTGGTGGAATTCACTGTTCACATGTACTTGGCTATCTTCTAGCTATTTGTTTCAGTATAAATTGTTCACAAGTGTCAATGTTTCAGTATAAGTTGTTCAGAAGTGTCCCTGAATTGCATTGAAGCAATGGGAGCTCCAATGAAGTACATCTGTGTTCTAGTGTTTCTTGTGGTTTTGAGCATTGCTGGCTTCAATGGAGTAGATGGATATGGGTCATGTGGGAAACATAACATCGAGAAGGAAGCTGAGAAGCTGGCTCCTTGTACAAAGGCAGCACAAGATTTGAAAGCTCCAGTTTCCAAGCGTTGCTGCACTGTCGTGGAGAAAAAGCTCAAGAATCCTGGCTGCCTGTGTGCTATTATGTTATCTCACACAGCTAAGAATGCTGGAGTCAAGCTAGAAGTTGCTGTGACCATTCCCAAACGCTGCAACATTCCTGCTCGTCCCGTGGGTCACAAGTGTGGAGCTTTCCCACTGGTTTAGGCGTGAAGACTCCCATGCTTCGTCTGCCTGCACTAAACTACATGATGTTAGCAGTATCAGTGTCCAGGATTTTGTCCCTGTTGCAATCTACTTGATGAGTTTCAACCTGACATCCAAGCTTTTAAGTAATAAATAAAACTGCAGTTGTATCTTTGAATACCAAATGAAAATTGTATTTGTTTCTTTTGAATAATAAAGAAAAGTTTAGTAATCTTTCAAAAAAAAATAGCAAACCCATAAAATACATTCACATAAGCCCCATCTCCTATAGGCACATTCTTTCTTTGGATTTTTTTCTTTTAATCCTATACTGGAATTCATTTGCAGGTGCAAATTTTATTACTTACCTAGCAACATGAATTCTTTTTTTAAGATTGGAATTTGTATAAATTATTTATTTGATTACATAACTTTTTAAAAATTTTAATTTGGTCACCAAACTTTTATCAAAATTAATGTTTTGATCACTCAATCGTTAAAATGAACCATTATTTGACACATTTGTTGACTTTGGCTATATGATATGTCCCTATCAACTCATCTATCATGTGTATAATATTTTGTAACAAATCAGTTGATATGGATATGTCACGTGATCAAGATTTATTGACATGGAAAACAATGTTAACTTTTTACTGATAAGATAAAAATTGATGACTAAATGTAACGACTCAAGTTCAACCACTGATCCAGTAACTTTTTAGGCCTAAACCACGTGATCTTCAAAAGATTAAGCTCAAATTACTAGTAGTAGTAGATTTGGATTGTTATATAAATCTTAACAATCACATTCACATCAGATGTGGGATGTTGGATATTACACTAAATATAATTTTTCAAAATTATGTATATAAAACAAAAATTTTTGAGTGGTTAATGATCAAATAGAAAATTTACTTTCAAAAGTTTGAATTGCTCTATGGGTGTAAATAAACCTAACTTAATAGATAATATGAACTTTTTTCATATTGAAATTTTGAACGAGTGAATAAACAACAAAAACTTTCAATCAAGTGCTAAATTATAATTTAACTTTACATTATTGACAAAAATGTGAAATAAAAATGTTTGAATATAATATAATATTATGACCACTAGTAAATTCCCAGAGCATATACAACAAAAAAGTAATACAAATTAAAGATCTCAATTTGGGTTTGGATTGCCTAGGGCCAACCTTGTTGAGTTTCCAATTTGTATGCCAAATATCAATATTCACAATTCAAATGGGCAGCTGACCCAGAAGTCCCACTTGTTCAAGAAAAGAAACTTAAATAATTTGAATGGCAAAGAAGAGAAAAGGGGAACAAGTGGGTTCTGCTCGGGAATATGGTATCCAAGGCATGCTTTCCTTTGGCTTTCCTTTCCAGGCATAGAAAGCTTTGACGTAGAGCATTTTGAACAACAGCTTTTGTATATATTGAGACTAAAGGATTGTGTCACTGAAGCTTCCTGGTGGCTAATAGTACTCAACTGAATTGTGGGTACTGTTATCCACTGCGAGAAATTCCTTGTGCGTCACTGGCCGAGGAGTGTAAGGGGGTGTTGTACATCTCAATAGTGCCCAGTTAACTCCATTGAAGAAATGGTGATGCTTAATTGCCGTAGAACCCATTGTTGATCCCATTCGCCTGGAAGGGTCCTTGACCAAAAGCTGAGCGATCAAGTCCTTCGCTGGGGCTGGCACGGATGGTTCCTTAGGGAACTCCAGTGCTCGAGCCACGATATTGGCTAGGGTCAACTCATGATCAATCCCTTTAAATGGTGTGACCCCGTAGAACATTTCAAACATGAATATCCCCAGCGTCCACCAGTCCACCGCATTGCCATGACCCTCCCCCGATACGATCTCCGGCGCCAAGTACTCGTGCGTCCCCACGAAGGACATGGAACGAACGTCCACCGGCTCCGCCACGATCTCCAAGTCCCCACGATGCATTGACTTTTTTCGACGTTTACGACTCTTAGGGTGTAAGCATGAGACGGCTGGTGCTATACAGTTGGGTAAAATGCATGATGAATTGGCAAATGGAGGTGGATCAGCCGTAGGATCACTGGATGAATTCGTTGTGGACGTGTTTTGGTCGGAGACGAGCTGAGCCGTGGATGTTGGGTTATCACTCTTTAATGAAAGATCGAAATCTGTGAGCATTATGTGACCGTCCGATCTTACTAGGACGTTTTCTGGCTTGAGGTCACGGTAGATGATTCCCATCATGTGTAGGTATTCTAGAGCGACCACAACTTCGGATGCATAAAATCTGTTTAACATTTAAATTAATTAATTATAAAAATAATACCAATCAAAGTTTAAAAACACAGTCCAGCAATATTTGTAAAAGGAAAGATTCAGAAGCAGAATGATAGAGAATAAGAGATTCGATGTATTAGTGTTATTTAATATTTTTTATTTTTAAAAATTATTTTTTATGACTTTTTTTACTAAATTTATATAAAAAAATTAGTAAACAATTAAAGCTGCTAATATATATTAATTACAATTAACAATTAAAATCTCCTTGCTGCTACTTTGTCTGTTTCTACAGAATAGCAGCCATCATCATATCCCATGCAGTGCTTAAACGCACGAGAAAATCGCGTGGGATATAAATGGCAACTCTGTAATTAAAGCAACTCTGTAATTAAAAGGCGAAGCTTCAAATCTTCCATGCTGGGGCCCACAATTTTGTCACTTTGCGCTAATTGCTAATGTCACGGACTCATTAACCTTCCTCCAAAAAATCAAACGAATGCTTGAATTTAATATACCACTTGTCATGATATAATTATTTTCACTCTAAAATAATTATTTAATAGACTTAATTTATAATATCACGTTTATAAAAATTTCAAAATCTATAAAATTGAAACATCTCAATTTATTTTTCTCTAAAGAACTAAGCGTGACGCTAACATCATGCTCTAGACCTTGGTCAGAGTATGAAAACTCATTATACAAAATGGCAATAATAGCCATAAAACAATATCTATATAACTCTTGTTCTTTTGAGCCAAATATTTTTCTTTTATATATATATATATATATATATGTGTGTAGATTTTAAATTATTGTAGAGCTTGAGATTGGCAAAAGGAAAATGGGGTCCTACAAAAGGTGATTAGAAGAATACAAGCAATCGACAAATTAGAAATTTCCAAGGAGCTGCAAGGCTTAAAAGAAGAAAAGCTAAATTTAAAACGCCCTAGATATGGTGTGTTGACTTCTCAATCATCTACCAGAATTGACGTGAAGTAATTTAAAATATATATGAATGAGATTCACCAAATGCAGTAAAAGTATCCTAACACTAGCCATGAATTGAGGCATGTATGGATTAGAGTTTGTGAACTTGTTTTCTTTAAGAGAGAAAATTTCATGTGTATGATAATAATGACTAGTGCATGAGAGTGAGACACACACGAAAAAGCTGAATGGGCTCACGTCCACTGTTCCTCCAGACATAGATAAAGCCATTGGAGCCCACATGCATTGAACAGTACTCAACATATGGTAAAACCCCAGTTATGATGACACATCATTTCTCATTATGCACTCAGTAACTTCATACTTGCAAATGTATGCTATATGAATCCATACATACTTGGTATATGAATCCATATTTGTATGGGTAGATGCATACATACATAAAACTATAGATAAATTTACGTACCGGACTGCGGTCTCATGGAACCGTCTGTGAGGTTGTCGTTGACGGAGAACATGAAGGTCGCCGCCGGGGCAAAATTCAGTCAACAGACAAGACCACCTTGGACTGTCTAATGTGGCATAAAGAGTTGGTAGAAATGGATGGTCCAATGATTCCAATATTTCCCTCTCTATTCTCGCCCTGCTTGCTTTGTTTCTGCTCATAAGCTCCTTTTTATCCATTACTTTGGCAGCGAAAAAGCACCCACTAGCGCCCTTGAGTTCCACAAGGTAAACGCTCCCTATGTCACCGCTGCCAAGCCGGTGAACGAAGCGCAGGTCTGCAAGGGTTAGCACATTATTCTCAGACTTCACTAGTTGGATGGCATGCCAGCAGGGATCACGTGGAGGCGCGTGGTGGTGCTTGGTGGAGGTGGATAGTAGGCTGGAGGGAGTCCATGTGGCTTCAGAACCTGAACTCGTGCTACGTTTCGTTTCGGGCACGGTGGTGGAGGTGGTGGCTGTGGTGGAAGTAGTGGTTGTGGAGGTGAAGCTAAGGTTGTCAAGGTCATCAGCAAGGTCATCGACACATTGTTGCATGGTGATGGAGGGGTGGAGCCACCCTTGCTGATGGAAATGGGAGCGGATGTGTGAGATGAGAATAGGAAAAGAGCGTGAGATGGGGAGAGGTTTTTGAAGAGTAAGGAAAGAGAGCATGGGCCGGCAAAATGAGGTCGGGCCATGTGGCAGAGTTTGGAGTTGAACCATGGGACCAGCAAGGAACCACTTGGTCAATTCCCATTTGTACTTCCATAATTGGAGTTCATCCTTCGGAACCATGAATTATTGAATGTCACTGTTGGGGCTACAAGATAAATAAAAATTGTATTACTCCATTTTCTATGTGTTTTTCTCCTTTTATCACATTTCAGGTCACTTGATTTGGTTTGTGTATATTCTAGGTAAAATAATTTGTGGTGATGGGTTTTGTTATTACCTTGTTTAAATATCTTGTTTGGGGTAAAAATCAAAGTAATTTCTCTTTTTTGGTATCTAAATGTAAACTTTCTGTTTTATTAGGCAAGAGTTCCTTTTCTGCAGTAGAATGTCTTCTTCTGGACTTTCCTTCTTTTTTATTATCTCTAACTTGTGACAAATTATCCAATCTTTCCCTGATAAAATATTAGAAGCATCTAAACATTTTGGCAGCTGTTGTCGTGTAATGGAAAATAGTTGTCAAAATGGATTTCCAACAAGGGACAGATGCACGATGACAACCCCAGCCAGAGTTGTCAGCCTGTTGGCATTCTTTCTATTTAATTTTCTCCACTTGTTAAGCATCCATTTGGCATAAAATATTTCCAAAATCTATGCAGATTTCGATCATCATACAAAATGCTGTTCGAAGCAGCTGTTGTTCAGTGACCAAGTCTCCAAAGAATTCAAAAGGGGAAAGGCCACTCTTTCATGCATGCCCCAATCTGCCTGAAAACGATATATGCACATGTTCTTCTGTCTAGTCTACAATCAATGAAGATTTTCAAAACACAATGATCTGTGACTTTGATAATTTTTCGAGACCCGACCTCTGTCGACAAAGGAAAGGAGACAACCTTATAGAAACATAAACATAAAAGCCACAGCAGAGGAGGTTCAACCTTTCAATTTGAACAGTATATATATTGCAAAGCTGATATATTTCAGTTTGTACCAAAATGAGATGATATCAGCAATGAAAGAAATATCCCGGAGCTAGAATCCCAGAAGTGCTAAATTAAAACAGTTAAGAGTGCTTCTCATGCATCCATACTATATCCCTCTCTGCTAAAACATAAAACAGAGCACGCTGATAGCCTGCAGCTCGGTAGGGAAACTTGAATTTCAATGGCATATATACAATCTAGTAACATTGACAACAAAGGATATTGCAGCTTACTCTGAAACCACCATCCTTAATCTCAATGATTAGCATTAAAAACATGAAATCGCAATTAAAAAGAACTTTATATAGATATAATGTTCTTCGATTTACAATTAAAACCTTAAGACATACATTAACTATATTCATATATATAACAGTTTGACAAAAGAAGAGTTCCCATAGGATCCGTCTAGACTACAATAATATGTTACAGCACTACCTATTACCCTAAATCATAGAAACAATCTTTACATAAGAAATTTTGATACATCTATAGGGTTGTTTCACTAATTAAGCTTGACTAAATTGAATAAATCAAAAGAAAAGTGATATACATATTACACTTCAACAGCCAATTCCAAATTATGACCATTGGAGACAATAAATGTACCATAAATCAGGTATGCACACGATTTAGAGAACCTCAAACTATGTATGTCTGCTTCAAGCTCTTTGGACCTCGTTTTCTTCTTGGGTTAGAACTAATCATGCAGGAGAAGGCATTGACAAGTTCAGAATCCTCTTCAGTTGTCAAAATCTTTGCTGCATTAGGGTCTGCAAGCAGAAGTTTTGCCACAAGATATCCAGCAATAGACCAGGTCTGAAACAGGTGTGATTGTTTTCCAATAAACCTTGCCTTTTTAGTATCATAGTATTCAGGCCATTTGTCCCTAGATATGCGTTTCTCAGCAACTGATACAGCCTTTGCAGCAATTTCTGGTCTATTCATCTTCATGCATGCGACTGTGAGCTGTAAAATGGGACTTATATATCAGAATTTCATACTTTGGCTTTCAAGCTTACACTCTAAATAAACCTCTTTCAATATTAGATATATATAGATCTGAAAATGGTTAGGAATGTCATAGTGGATAATGCACTGACACCTACAGGTAAGCCCAGAACAGTATAGTAAGTCACAATGGAACAAATGTCCTCAGCGTCTACATTTTCTTTTCTTTCTTCCCTCCTTTTATGGATATTCATGTACAATTACTTTAGGTACACCTCAAGATTAATAAGACCTTCAAATCATTAAGAGGAATAAAAAGTAAACATCCTCAAAATCTACATGTTCCAAATGCAAACCTAAAATCCAGCTATTAAAAAGGCAATTTAGAGAAACTAAGAAGGATGCGACCATTACTGACCTGCCACAGTAAAGTCGGCCATGAACCACCATTGTGGTAGGACCAGGGCCTGCATCACAAACAATCCCTCTTACAATTAAAATACAGATGTAAAGAAAAACTAAGAGCATTATCATACTTAAGGTAGATATATTACGTGTTCTTGGGATCACTGCCTGTAATGATCTGCCACTCCCGACCTTCAAGAGCTGGGTAGCAGATCTTAAATGGCATATCGGCCACCAAATCAGCCCATTTAGCTTCGATGAGATCCAATATAGCATGTGATTGATCAGTCGTTACAAGACCACTCGTAACAGCCCACAAATTTCCTAGAGAAAAGAATCGGAAATCCATATGAGCTGGTTGTAAGTTCCCAATCAGATAGCCTCCTTTATTCGGCATCCATTCCACCAACCAAGGAGAAATTTGATCCGGATAAATATTGAACTTATTAACGGCATCATATGAATACTCTTCAGTCTTGTAACGGTAAATTTCATTAAGTTTTCTCATATCAATCCAATAATATTCTCTGATATGAAATGACAGAGCAACAAGACGATTGTTAAGTGCTCGAATAAGATCAGCTGATCCATCCTCTGGAGTAAGCATTTCACGTGCACATAGTAATGCTGAATAAAAAAGCGCCTACAGGAAAGCAAAAATTATCTCAAGATCAGGTCGGGAGCTTTTGCAAGTAAATATGGCAGTAATGAAGTCATATACTGTTACTAAATTCTTTGCCATATAGTTGCCACTTCCACTCTCTTGTATGGAAATTTCTCTGCATTTTCAATGTATATTTCTTGAAAGTTAAGAATAAGTTGACTCAAATTTGTTGTTTTCAGCATAATTGGTTCAGGTTCCACATATTACATGTTGCTTTTCAAACCAATTAATGTGTGTATTTAAGTCAATTTCTGGTTAATTGCTTTTCAAGTGAAGTTTACTGATATCCTGGGAGCTAAACCTTAAGATGCAATGCAAGGGTAAAAGGTACTTTAGACATATAGACATCCAAGTTCTCCAAACCCGAAAGTTGAATTAACACAATGAAAGTTATTAGCAGGAGCCAAATGCATCCTTCAAAGTGAAGCATTAGCATATCCAGATGTATGTTACCCGCACCACATAAGACCATCTCAAGAGAGATTATTTAGCTAGGATGTCATGATAAGTCTATAATATTTTGGTCAGAAATGTCTATTTCTGATCCTCGTTCTATAGATAGAAGAAAAAAACAATGTTTGTTGGGCAAAAGGTGGACTGTAAAAATGGTTAAACACCTTTAACATACATCACAATCCGATCATCCAGGATAAGATTCATTCTCAGCTTTCAGCATTTACCATTTCAGTCCTCCTAAGACAGCATTGTAATCAAGCATTTAAGAGCTTGTTGCCTATTAACAGGAACACAGAAAGGGCAACAACCTAAGGCTCAAAACAAAAATAAGTTATATAAATGTCAGTAAGTTTATAGCCATGCCAAACACAGAACCCTCACCAAGTTCGACCCAAATAACATGAGTGCGTTAATGGGTATCATATGGAGATGCACAAGAATTTCACATCTTACTTGCTCTGAGGCCCCCTAATCTCAAAACCTTTCCCAACTCAACCTTCTTGAAGCCAAAATAAAAGCCCTTTGAAAACTCAAAGCCTAAATATACTGTCTAGATTCAATTACACAACCCTGCTGTCTTTAATCCCTTTCATAGTCCAAACATACCTTTTCTATCAAAAAGAATATATATAAATATATATATATATATATATATAATCCTAAGTGAATTTCATTTTCAGGATTTCCCACTTTCTCAGCATGAAACAATTCAAAAAGCACTTCACCATGCTTATCTCATTAGTGTTTGCAACATCATCATCAAACAGTGAAGTCAGTTTGGCAGTTAAGGGGATAAATTAACCTTGATTTGGTTCTTCCTATTGCTTTGCTTCGAGCAAGCAAAAATGAAAAATGTTTGGATAGAAAATTGAAGAATTAAAATAAAAAATGTAATGTTTCCAAGTGAAATGCCAGATTTTACTTGTATATAGACTAATCATGTTATAAGTGGTATTACAATTTAATCATTTCTTCATTTTCAGTTAACTATAATTTTCCTTTTATAATTTACTTTTTATTTTACAACAAATTTTAGGAAGCAAAAAGAAAGTAGCGATAGCAACAACCAAATGGAGCCTTCTAATATTTTGCTCTTTGAATTCCAATATTGTTATTTACCTGAATTTCCAGAGGATGTCCATGAATCCCCATGCGACGATCTATCATACAAGAACCATCTGTCACCAATAATGTAGGAAACATATCAAAACCATCAGCAAGACATAGCCGTAGAATCATCTTGATTCCAGTTTGGACATCAACTCTCTCCTGAACTGAAAGATCGCCAGAGCATTTTCCATATGCCCGTAATAATATAATCCACCACAATCCTGCAATTGAAATAGGTAGTCACAAAAGAATTCAGAAATTTAAAGTATTTCAATAAAAAAATTTTGAAAACACAAAATCCCGTTTAGACTAAACTTCAGTACCAGAATCAACAGGAGCAACACGGCCAATAGCTGCTTCTCCAAAGTCAGGATCCAATACCTCCTCTGTTGCTGAATCATCAGCATCAAGAGGAACTGTGCGCACTTTAAAACTTGCAGGCATCAATCCCTGACCAGGGCTATGACAGTCCATTGTTTTTTCCCAGCTCTAAAATATGAGTAAGTATATTAAATAACAAAAATAAAGCAGGAAATTTATCTAACAGTGGGATATACATTAAAACCATTTTATATTCAAGTTTGTCAGATGGACATAGATCAAGATACATGACCAGAACTGCATGTGCACAAATGAAGAGCCAATCACAGAAGGATGTGTACAAATGAAGAGCCAATCACAGAAGGACGTGCACAAATGATGCTACTGCATATCGAATTGTGCAATCACAGTGGTTCCAACATGAGACATTTACATATATGTGGAAACAACAATATAAAATAGTTCTTATTCACAGACACTTACAAAGAACCATTCATTGTGCTACATGGATCAAATTTTTCCATATTATTCTATTTAAGACCATATTCAAAGCAATATCATTACATCAGATTCCTTTAATTATATTAATTATGCTCTCTAATAAAAGATTACATGACCATAGTTGTCAAGATATTCAAACCCATGATTATGCCATTTTACCTTTTTCTAGAAAAGTATCTGCTGTCTCCGATGCATATAACCATCAAGGTAACAAAGCATTAGGATGTTAACCATTTCTAGAATTTTATTGGCAACAGGAGGCAGTTAGAATGGAAAGTGAAATTATCAATGAATTAATCATCATAATATAATCATGAATTATCAATCAAACAGAACAGTACAAGAGTAGCCACAAATTTCACTTTGTAATCTTGTTTGGCTTTATATCTTGATTCTTAAACCCATTTAGTGTCTTTATTTTTAGGCATGATACCAGTTTTAAGGTTTGCCAAAAGTTAGTATAACTTTT